AGCTTGTGCGTAAATACGGAAAAACAAAATACAAAGTAACCATATCCAAAAATATACAAATACAAATATCGAAAAACAAGAGGCTTGCTCCTCTTCCTACCAGGCCTGTCATAAGGTCAGTAAGATTTAATTAAAAGATGGAATAAAAAGTCCTAAGGCGGAATAGGGTCTAGAAGTTGTTCACTTCATACACACCACCAAAGGCCTTTCAGTATCTGTACGTGCTGATTTCCTCACTGTGGCCTCCTGTACCACATACACTTCCCTCAACTACACTGTGATGTACATCAGCTGCAAAGGTCTAATTCTCTTACAAACTGAAAACCAAAGGAGAACATTTAACAAGGTTTCAGTGTGCAAGAGGACATAATGCACTACCCCAGCAACAAAGCCAGCACTTGTCACCTCCCCACTCACAGAGTCAAAGTTAACACCTAAATAGGATACAAAGGTAATGCTTATTACCTGCTGTGTTTCAGATATAATATTCTCATCACTAAAATGTAGGAAGTTATTTGAAACATATTTAGTGGAAATACTCTTTTCCTCGGTATTAACACAACCAAATAGAAATCACAAGAGCACAATTTACTGCTTTCACAGAAGCTATGCATACACAATTACCACATAAGAGACCAGCCTGATATGCACAAGAGGGACAAAATATAATGAGAAGTTTAACTCTTAATGACAGCACTGTAGAAGGCAACACATTATTTCTCCTTGCATTGAGCAAAAAAAGAAAAGCCTGTTTTGAAATAAGATTTTCTCCTTAAAGCCTTGAAGTGTAACACTGCTCAACACATTTAAGCCCCCTCCACATTCAGATTAGCTCCTTTTGTCAGCACACGAGTTTCAGGGTATGAAGCGATACCAGATGTTCTGGTTTTAAATGCCTCACTTGAGTACACTTACCATGACACTTATGAGATGCCGAGTGCACCACTGCGCTCTTACAAATCATATAAAGTTTATGCTTTGTTAGCAAGTATACCTGCTATCCCCTGACAAAATCTGCGTCCTCACACCATCACGATGTGGGTACTTACCCACTGCAGTTTAAGAAATCTTCACTAAGCCTGAAAAGTGTTACATTCCAAGGAAGTTCTTGCCCTTTCAACTTACCAGCACACAATAATGCTTTCTCTTCTGAATTTAAGCATAGATTATATGTCAGAAGTTCCCCTCTGGGTTAGACTCACGCAACTCATTGTACATGAAGATTAATAGCACATAAAACAAAGCGCCTCTGTCTTCTCTATGCTTCAAGGTATCCATGAACACATTAAGCCAGTATTCACTTCACACACTAACTCTCAGAGCCAGCATAATCTGATCTAATTTTTTAGGGAAACAGGTCAAGGAAAAGTCAACTAGATTAAACTTCAACTTAAAATTCCATTTTAACTCCTTTAGAGAACACACAAAACACAATACAGCCTAAAGGACATTATACCCTAAAATCCTATTCTACAGCTCTGCAGTGTCAAGAAACTGTACAGAGAAGAGCAGGCAGAACACACAGTCTGTGCATTCTTCAAAAAGGGTACAGAAGGGGGAAAAAAAGCAGAAGAAATGCTAGGAAAGGCACAGTATTTACAACTTAAGAAATGTCAAGAGATTTTTAGCCAGTTCGATACAGGCTTCACTGGTACTAAAAATTACTCAAATACTATGGATATTGATTGCTTTCTTTCCTAGAGTGTCAAAAGTTAGAATTTTAAAAAGTGCTTAAGCAAACATTTGCAAGATAAGCCTCAAAAACTGATTTTCAGCAATCATGGTACCTTATTTCATTTACTATGATCAAACATATCACCCTAAAGGGCTCCTCACCCAAGAAGCTAACTAGGTCAAGGAATAGGTCAAGGTCCCTATCCCTAGCTGGGAATACAGTCCAGTCAATCCTACATCTTTAGGGCAAAAATGGCTGGTAATAAGAAAACATGGCACAAGCATCTTAATATCAGAATTATGAGTAGAGTAACTACTGAAAAAGAATTGAATAATGATGTTAGGGTGTTTTTAAAAAGGCAGACTCATACATTCTTACCTATATTTTTATAAATAAATAAATAAATAAACAAACAGATAAACCCTCTACATACCACAGGTAAGAATACAAAGCACTGGGCATACTGCACCATCACCAAACTAGAGATGATGCAATGAAGCTTAAAGTAACAATCTTTGATTAAATCAGTCACAGCTGACACAAGAGAAATATCTGCACTACAGCCACACTAGTGCTGGAGGTGCACAAATGCAGACAAGGCCTACAACTTCTAACCATCTTCTTGACATATTTATGTTTTAGCCGATGTATGTTTGTATTTAATATAAATAAACTTACAAAGGTACTTTAACTTAAGCTCTATACAAAATTTAAGAAGGACACCTAAATGTATATTCAAATGCTCACAGAATTAGGTAGCTGGAACAAATACTGGATGTATTAGTCTTCTCTGTATGTGAGAATGTGAAAGTATGTTTAGAAAGCTTGTTATTTCAGAGGAACAGTAAAGTATAAAATCTCCAATATTTGTAGTGAAGGATGTTACCTTAAAACATAGCACATAATGATGCGGCAATACTTACTTTCGGGCCTCCTTTTTAAATTTGGTACAACACAACAACCCAGAGTTAACTTCTTATTTTATTCTGATTAATTCCTTATTTCATTACATATGGTGTAATTTGGATTTAGACCAAGTGCAGCTTTTCAGGTGACAAACTAACAAATTTAGAAGTACTGCCATGTCAAGAGTAAAAACAATGAAATCCTAACTAGTAAGATAGGCTAAATTCACTTCTTGAAATATTAATGCTATTAGAGTAATTTATTTTCGTTTTGATACCTAGAAGATTGTATTGTTTTCTGATTAATTTTTGAGAAATTTATAGCAGACAGGAATTATCTATGCATACAATTATATTGGGAGTTTTGAATAAGGAATGCCTTTTGTAAGGCACAGTAAGCAAAAGTGGGTATTGTTCTTCATCCAGTGTAGGAGTACAGGAATGACTACAGCATCAAAGGAAATGGACTCTATCCAGCTGCTTTTACAACAGAGGAAAAAACACTGATTGCATGTGGGTCCAGAGCCGTCGACATTGTTAAACAAGCCATGTTTGATGTCCTCTCTTTTTGGAACTGGTTGTCTTCTGAATGATTGAACTGAACGTGTCTTGCAGTTTAAACTACACAATAAACAGAAAGATGAGATTTCTGCTCTTCCTTTTACGGAATATTGTGATCTGCTTTTGATATATTTAGTAATAATCATTAGTAGTGGCAGCCTGTGCTTGTTCTAGAGATCACTGTATTTAACTCATCCCTAGTGAGTGGGGAAGTGTAGTCTTGTTACTTTGTGAGAGCACAGTGGAATATTAGGAACATTTTAGCAGATTTCAGTAAGATACTTGAAGGACTTGCAACAGAAGCCTCTCTGTTTACAAAGCAAGCAAATTTATGCCAACATTTTGCTCCCTCATAGGTATCACGGAAGTTTATGAACCACACCGTCAGTGTCCTGAGAACACTTTGTGTAAGACATATCTCCAGCAGGCGGGAAGGTGAAAGCTTCCACCTCCCTCTGTAGGACTCCATGCAAGAGGCACCACTGAGCTGCACCAGGAGAACACACAAGGACAAGGGGGGGAAAAAAAGCATAAAACAGAAAGTACTCAAAGGCATTTGCTGGACTGTAAGGAGACCATCAGGGCCATTCACAGTTGATCTGAACCAACAGCAGCTCACAAAGCAGATTATACATCTGATAGAGAACAGTTTTTAAACACCTGTTCTCTTTATTTTTTTAAAGCAGGAACAAAATAAATCAGATTTAACAGTTGTTATCAAAGTTCAAAACTGATTGCACAGAAATGGAATTAAGGCTACAACCTGTATCCTGCTCTTAACTATTCCCTTTTTCACTGTTCTCTTAAACTTGCTAATAAACAGCCACACACCCACACTGACTTTCTGGCACCAGCCTGAGCAGGAGCAGTCTGACATCCACTGCTAGATTTTTAGGGCATTTCACAGTCAGTTTTCACCACTCCTTGAAAATGCTCCATACACCAAAGTCATGGACACACAGAAAGTTTTCTCTTTCACAAAACCTACTACACACAAATAAGTTCTTCTTCTTCTTCCCAAATATTTTCTTCACTATGTAACTCCAGGACAAGGACTGAAGACTTTCAGTAATAAATGCCAAGCACGCTCTAAAGTTTCTCTCAAAACTATGATGTTCCTTCTCATAACCAGGACACCAATTCTCTCCTTCCTGCTTCAGCTGCACAGTGTTCTGCTGACATTTGGCAAAGACAATGAAGTAATAAACAGTGCTTCTACCCTTCAGAAGTAACTCTTCCTTTTTATGTCATTAATAGTATTACCAACTGATAAGACATGAACCAACACACAAAGAGGCAGCAGCAAAGCCAAGAATCAGCTTTAGGAGATGCTCTTCTATTTCAGGTCTGCATGGATTGTCTGTATCAGGATGACTCCGTTCTCTGATACGTCCCTCCAACCCACCAGGTTACTTTATTTCTCATTAAGCAAAAGCAACCGGTGCTGCAGCCCTGGCAGGGACGGCAAAAAGCACAACGGGGAGGGAAAAACCCGCCGTGCTTGTCACCTCGTACACATGCGCAGCTTTCTGAGTGTGTGGCGAGTCTGAGGCGTGAAAGCTGGAACCGGCAAACCCGGGCACGGGGCGGCGGAGCTGAGGGATGAGAGGGGGCATTTAAAGGCAATTTAATTTACTCTCTGCCCTGGTCCGACCTTCGCTCACACCGGACGGGAGCCGCTCCCAGCCCTGGGACGAGCAGGGGGAGCCCGGCACGGGAGGCTCAGCAAGAGGATGAGGCCGTTCCTGCCCTTCAGGCGGCCCCGCTCCCGGCACTGCCCCACGAACCGGCCCGCTGGCGGTTCCACGCGGCCGCCCCGCCCGCCCCCCGCCCGCGGCGGCCCCGGGCCCTCCGCTCACCAGCCCGTCGATCTGCACTTGCTTGACGGCCGAGTCTCCCGCAGCCGCGGCTTTGCCCTTGCCCTTGCTGGTGCCGAAGCCGCCGCCGGCAGCGCCCAGGCCCTCCTTGCGCGACGCCATCGCTACCCCCGCACGGCCGGAAAGAGAAACACGGCGCACAGGAAGCGGCCAAATGGCCGGGGCGGTGCGCGAAGAAGCGGCCCCGGGCGGGAACGAGGCCCTGGCTCGGTGTGCCCGGGGACAGCCGTGCCCTGTGCTTCCCAGTCCGAGATCATCGAGTCCAACCTGTGACCGATCACCACCTTGTCAACTAGACCATGGCACTAAGTGCCATGTCCAGTCTTTCCTTACACAGCTCCAGGGACGGAGACTCCACCATCTCCCTGGGCAGCCCATTTTAATGTTTAACAGCCATTGCTGTAAATTCTTCCTGATGTCCGACATGAACCTCCCCTGGTGCAGCTTGAGGCCATTTCCTCTCATTCTGTCCTCTCATTTACCTGGGTGAAGAGACTGACCCCCACCTGGCAAGAGCGTCCTTTTAGGCGGTTCTAGAGAGCAATTAGGTCTCCCTGGAGCCTCCTCTGGGCTGAATACCCCCAGCTCCCTCAGCTGCTTGTGGGACTTGTGCTCCAGACCCTTCACCAGCTCTGCTGCCCTTCTCTGGACACGCTCCAGCCCCTCAGTGTCCTTCTTGTAGTGAGGGCCCCAAAACTGGACACAGGATTTGAGGCCTCACCAATGCCGGGTATAGGGGGATGGTCTGAACATTAGACACAAATCCCTGAAGTACCGACTATTTGTTCAATTCCCAGGAGTGACTTTGTGTTGTAGTAAAGGTTAAGTGTTGGGTTTGCTTTGCTGCTCTATTTTGTTTGAGGGTTTTGTTTTTTCTTTTTAATATTTCAAACCTTACCCACTCTTCTGAAAAATGCAATGGGCCGTGAAAGGCAGCTCTACCAGACCCCCCAAAGCTGTCTAGACACTATGCCAAATATGTGACTGCATAAAAATTTACCTTTTCAACAATGCAGTTGACAATAATTTTTAACTAAGGGAGGGAAACCTACTTCCTAAGGCAAATATGAAGATATATCTGCATTTTCCAGCAGACACGGACTCAGCATTTGCCCGTTCCTATAAAATAATTCTAACATCATTTAGAATATTCCCTACCAGCTGCCTCCATTGGTTCTGAAACAAATTCAAGCAAAGACTCTAGTGTAATAATCCTCCCAACAAGTGAAATCATATCCTAAATGCCACTGATGTCACTGACTAGACTTGCACTGACTCTAACAAGAAACTTGGACCCCCAGCTTTGCTAAGGAGACCTTGTGATAGATGTCTAAAGTAGGGTGAGATGAATCCCACTTTACATTTTCCACTGGGGGGAAAAACTCTTAAATGGAGATTGAAGGGGAAGTCTAGAATTGCAGGATCACTGAGGTCAAACGTACCTTGTACCTCAAAGAGACCGAAGTGCATGTGCAGCGGGTGTTGGTCCAAAAGCACTTTGTAGAGAGACTGATGCAAGAACTACCTTGAGTTTCAGAGCAGTTTGCTGTGGCCAGCAAGCTCAGCCATCACGTAGGTGTTGCAAATTTGAGTCCTGCCCTCAGCAGGTTTCCATGACTGAAGGTTGCACTCCCACTGGCATTGCCTTTTGAAGTTTTTTCTAGAGAACAAAGTTGCTTAATTCGATATTATTATTCCACTGTGCTGTTATATTCACATGCATATCCAGTTTTAATTTACAAATATGATCAAATAGTTTTAATTAAAGAAAACTAAGATTAGGAAATAGTATTATGGTAATATAGTAGTTTTCAACTCCAGTCCATGGACTGCTGGAGATCTGTGGGCTACTTCAAAGCTGCTGTTGCAAGGTATTTAAATAGAAAAACATACCTTTTTGTCAGGAAATGCACAGTGCTTTACCACTGGCACATTCTTAGGAATCTAAAAGGGAATTAGAGCTCCTGAGATAAGACAAATGTGATGTATTACTTCTGCCTATTGAGGTTTTGAACAGAAAGTCAATGAAATTTAAAAAAGAAAAGGAAAAAAAAAAAAACAACAAGTAGCTGCAGCACAGAACATCAGCATATTCAAAGAGGTTGCTGTGGGCACCCAAAATAGCCCTATTCATGTGATTGGCATAGGGCTTACACTACTTAATGCACTGCTAGAATAATTCAGTCAACTTGGTTAATTATGATTAAAATGAAAAATGAAACACAAATATCAACTCTCTACTTTGCAGAACTCCCCAGATCACTGGAGGCAAGAAGCCATAAAAAATTTCACCATTGAAAACACTGAATTCTTGAAAAGGAGGCCATGAAAAGGATGTCAGAGTGAAAAATTTTAGTAACATTGCCCAAGCTACTCAGGAAAACCGCTGAACACATTAGAAAATTCAAATAGTGCACAAAATTTCCATTAATCATTTTTAAATTATACTCTAAATTTAAAAGACAGCTGGAACCAACCAGAACCTTTTTATTCCCCAGTCCTGCTTAAGTAAAAACTTTGGTGAAACTGAGATGTGTCATCTCCCCCCACAGCACCTCTGTACCATATCAGGGCTATGAGCAGAACTAGAGCTGCTAATTATCTGATTAGGGTTCAAAGATATAATCCCTTCCAAATCATCAGACTGACTTTACCTTAAGGGCTAAACCAACTTGAATTTCATTTGTGTATGCTGCAGGCTAAGACCATTCACCAGAGAAGGGCTAACCTGCAATGACTTGTTACCACTTGGTAAATGGGTCATGTCTGAATTCTGTGTTTTTCTTTCCTATCCTCTCAGCAATTCCAAGTATTTCTATGCATAATGAATACTTTAATTTCATTATCACAAAGTGTAAAGGAATAGGGAAGAATCACTTAGGATATACATATAGCAGTCTGTACTTGTACTGAGACACAAAAACACCTCAAATACAAACTTGAACTAATAACTACAGTTGTCTAAACCAACATTATTATGTAAAAAAAAAAAAAATGTTTCCAGTAAAATATTCTCCAAAACTTAGTGGCAGAAGACTCCCCTAGCACAAACTTAAAATTGCCTTGTAATATCTTGAAGTCTTACAGAAGCTTCAAGTTCGAAAAAGCTCAGTTTTCTGAAAGGGGTGAGGTATCCAGGCTTAAGCTTTCAAACGTCATGAAACACATTTTGGTGACCTTTCTCACAGTCCTATCATAGGAAATGTACCTACAGCCAATGTGCTGCTTAAAAATGAAGTCACAATCTAACATCTTTTCTGCATAAAGTAAGGCTTGTATTTGGGAGGAGGGTAGTGAATTTAAGGCTGTACCTAATCCCTTCATACAAGTAAAAAGCAAATTCTACATAATTCTATGCGTGTCATGGAATCTGCTCCTTTTGAAATCCCCTTCTTATTCACAGGACACCTTTTGATAATCGCCTGTCATTTACATACCACTCTCATAACCCATAGGGAGAGTGAAAATCCTAATGACGAGAGGTCCCTCTGTATATCTGTGGTGAGTTGACCCCGGCCAACAGCCACACACCCACTCAGCCTCTCGCTCACTGCCCTCCCTCAGGATGGGGGAGGAAGCAGAAGGATGGCAAGAATACTTGTGAATCACATTTCCAAAGCCATGTGACAGACAAGATCTCTCAAATGCTCAATCTTTTCTTTCCTTTGTCCGTCCCGTCCCCCCCCCCCAAAAAAAAGTCTGTCAGAAGACCTCAGGTCTCCTCAGCAGATGCAGTTTTGCCAGGTGTGTGCTTGTGTAACTCTGTAGAACCTGTAGCTGCAGTTGCACTGAGCAGTGCTGCATGCCATGCACAGGCAATTCCAAATGCCAACTCCAGCCTCAGGAAGCAGCATTGTGTATAAGCCTTGTATAATTCAGGGGGTTCAGTTATTTGTGTTCTGCTGACCACAGCAATTTAAGACTCAAGAAAATTAAATGTCCCTAGGCTATCAACCCATGCTAAGGAAGGTTCTCCCTGATAAATGAGGCTGCTCTCCACACCCACTGTGTTCAGATACCACTGATCCCCAACTGTGACTCGCTGAAGTCAGGCCCTTTGCATACCTATTTCTACAGCATCTACACCATTCCGCTTCACTGCTAAATAGTCACCTTCTGAAATGTCAGATATTCATCCAGTGCTTACTACTTTCCACAGAGTACTCAATGGGAAAATTTAAGATCAGGCTACGCAAATGCATGAGCATTTTGTGCCAAAGAATTTTTCAGTACTATTATTTCTCATGAGGCTAATTGTGATTGTAGAAGTTATTGGTACCAATACAGAATTCTATTCCACAGTTTTTTCTAATTTTCTTCAAGAGAATCAATGTGAAGAAATTGGTTTTATTGGCTTTTTTTATTTGAAATAGGAAATGGAAAGTAATAAGGTGCAGTAGTGATAGAAAAATGGTAAAAGTAGGAACTGCAACAGCATAGAAACCCCCAGGGACAAACATCAAATGCAATAAAGCAACTACAGGACCAGAATCTAAACTTTGAAAATTCAATTTATTTTCTCTAAGAATGAAGGTTTCAGAGGCTATGCATGGTTTCAACCATGCTCTTACACAGGCAACCTTTTAGCATTTTCTAGACTAAATATAAAAGCACTATATTAAAAAAAATGGACAGTAGTGTAATAAGGTATTTCTGCAAATGAAGGAAATATTAAAAAATATAAGCTCTTCCCTTGGGAAAGTTTGGGGTTTTTTCCGCTGCTCAAGGTTTTTTCTATGCTTTTTTCAATGACTGTTTTCCAATAAATGTTTTAGTTACCTTCTTATTCATTCTTTTTATGTTTATGTCTTTATAGCACCTCAAACCCATTACCATACTACTAACGGGAACAAAAAAAATGACAAAGGAATTAATGATAAAATTGCCTACTTGTAAATGCATATGATAAAACAAACAAACTCAGACATTTTAAGTGCTAATTTTGGTCTGTAAAAGAAAGTCAAGTTACTTTCCAATGTTATTGTATGTTTCTAAGCAGAGCCAGACTCTTCCTAGAGTATCAAGTTAGAAGATTGTGTAAGCATAGACAGCATATATGATCTATCACCACAATGTAAAGATTCCACTTCTCTGTTCCCAGTTATATGATTTCTCCCTGAAATCAGTGAAG